ATTTTCAGTATTAAAAATACTGGGTAATATGTAATTATCAATGATTCTTTGTATGATATTTCTATAAGGGCGCCAGGACTCGAACCTGGAACCTCCCCACTTTCCAGGCGGGACGCCTTTCCATTCGGCCACCGAGGCTTCGACAGTAATCTCGCAACACAATGTTTATAAATTCTCTAAGATGTAAGGTGAGAGAGAACGAAAGAGTCGATCTCGTAAGAGATGTTATTGTACGAGAGAGAGATAGCATATTCTTCCTGCCGATGCTTTAAGATAAACCGAAATAATAGAACGCTCCTTTATAGAGTTAACTAATAGTGGAATTTTAATTAAAATATATATTTAAAAATTTGGGACTCAAGGATCAGTCTAAGTCTCTTATAGAAATATCATACTAAGTATCATTGATAATTACTTATTTTCAGTATTAAAAATACTGGATAATAAGTAATTATCAATGATTCATAGTATGATATTTCTATAAATGGTATTAATATTAAAATTATTTAGTATTTAATAGCACTAAGTCATCCGTGCTAGCTCCTTATGTGCCATTAATATTTCACTATTAGCTATATCATATATATATATATATATATATATATATATATATATATATATATATATATATATATATATATAGTAATTGCGCGTGATTGGCTGTTACAGTATCAGGACCATAAACATTATTTACATTTTCAGCCGCCTGGCTTGCGTTTTCGCCTTTATCGAAGAAAAACTGTAAAATATGACGTATTTTCTCTTTGCTGGTGTCCATCTTTGACGCGCGCTCAAACAATACTAAATCAAACAATCACAAAACTGTCTGTGAAGTTCTTTTAGTACGAAATCTTATCTTTCTAACGCTATCTAGCGTAAACCGATTGCACTTATACAACGCGAGATACACATTACTAAAGCCATCTATTGGAAAAATAATGGATTTCTTTTTACTACACCTTATATAATATTACGTGCCATATGGGATATATAGTAGTATTCATTAATTATCTTATATTGATACAATAATCTTAAATATACTAGAATAATCTTATATTGATAATGGTCTGAACCCATACAACACAGATCTTGCAGCAACATTTCAGCAATATTGCGGCAACACTGCTGCAACTTTTAACATTGCTGCAAGATCTGTGTTGTATGGGAAGGCTCAAAATAGGAAACATACGTACGGTATTCACAGTCGGATATTATATTTCAGACTGTCTTAAGTTAATTTTTGGATGCTGCACAAATAATTAAATTGGTAACGGTTTCTGATTAAAAAATTTTTATAATTTGGAATACAAGATCCGACTATTGTCCTTTCACATTGACATTTGTCGTAATGACATTTGACGTAAACGCACAAAAAATGGCTAAAATACCATTGTAAGACAAAATGATAAGATACTGAGTACAATAATAAGAATATCGTATTCTTTGATATTACATTTCGGTATACAATTAGTAACAATCTTTCTAATAATTATGAAAAATCATTCGGTAAGTGACAAATACGGTTATAGAAATCACAGTGAATTATATATTATATACAATATATCTGGACGTGAGATATATTGTATATATTAATATTATTCTTATAACAAACAGTGACACACAATACTTTATGAAAATGTAATGTATGAATAATAAGAGTTAGGCCTGGTTGCACTATTATTTTGGCTTTAAGCTAAACTTAAACATCCATCAATCTTTATCTTTCTTTCTGAATTAATAAAGATAGACATTTAAGACTTGCTAATAATAATAACGTGGATGCAACCGGGGCTTAATATTTTATTTTGACAACCCGAAGTAAGACCTGTAAAGAAATTAATGTTGCATGCATATTATTAGGGGCTGAGCGCAATAAAACGAATAAGGGACAGGGAATATAGAATAAGGAATACTGGAAATAAATAACGCACAACGGAGGAATGAGGAATAGAAGAAACTATTTAAACAATAAAACTATTTTCTGTTCATTATTTCTCATTCCTCCGTTGTGCATAATTTCTTGTTTCCACTATTCCTTGTTCTCTGTTCCCTGTTCCTTATTTTTTTTATTGTGCTCAGCCCCTTTTCCTTACGATTATGTAGTAGTAACCTATATCCAGAGGCGTTCAATCCGACGTGCGCTGTTATTATGTAGTAGTAGCTTATATCTAGAGGCGTCCAATCCGACGTGCGCCAATATAATGTAGTAATATCTTGTACCACAGACGTGCAAGACGACGTACGTTAGTTGTATTGCAGTAATATTTTGTGACATAGATATTAATGTGTCCATGGATTATTTCCTTGTAAAAGAACATTATCGGCCAAAACGTTTATAATATAAAATACTGTAATGTAACAAATACATGTGTATGACATAAACAAAATTAAAAACTTGTCAAGGTTTTATTTCGTAATATGATTCCTTAAAAGTAACTATAAATAAAATAAATACTACATTGTGTCATTGTTAAAATATCTGAAAAGTATTGTTATATATAGTAAAATTTATCATTTTTTGCAGGCGAGTGATGCATAAAAAAATTATGCAGTGGCACGAAAAAATTAATGTTACCTCCGGTACTGACGGTGAATACATCGATTGTCGAGAATGTGAACAGTCTCAGACAGACGTAATGAATTCTAAGACCAGTACCGGAATAATGAACAAAATAAATTTGGGAGAAAAAAGTTTATCGAATAAACATGATATTCATGTACAAGGTATGTATAACAAATATGCCGAAGATCACGTCAATGATTATATCGACAAAGAAGGTGTAGATAATAGTAGTGTCGATGCATAGTGGACCTTCCTTTTGTGTTAAATGAAGTGCATAGAACATTTGATAACCATGCGAGAGGAATAGAGTGCCAATTTAAAGATTGGAAGCTTATAAAAACTCGCGGACGTGGGTTACTGACACAGTTATTCTTCAAGTGCCAAATGTGCCAAATGTGCCACTATGAAGACAACTTTTGGTCAGAGTTAGTATCAAATAAATTAGATGTAAATGCGGCAAGTGTAGTTGGAACAATAACAACTGGAAACGGTTATTACCAACTGGAAGAGCTGTTAGCAATGAATATACCTTGCATGTC